ACATACATACATACATGTACAATTATGGTAAAGTGAATGCCATCCATGTACACTTACAAAGGTCAGGTAAGATGTGTTAACATCTACTCACATGTACATGTATCAGTAGTTAGCAACATAACCAGTTTCTATGTTACACATGTAATAAATTAGTGCAAACAAATGAGACAATCATCATACTATTCACTAATTCGATCTGTAATTATAAGCAAAAGTTTTTTCCTTAAAAAATAAACAAAGCCACAATCAGGCTTGTGTAATCAACTGCAACCCTGGTACATGTACACCATCTATGATGTACGTACACACACCACTGACAAGGCACTCAGCCCATAATCACAAAATTCTTCCCTATACATGCACTTAGGTGAGGCTTCATTCTTTGTCTTACCCCTCCAATACAAATCATGTACCTTTACACATTTAAGAATTTGATAAATAACACCAGTACAGAGGATTGTTCGCTTCAATTGTATTAGATCAATGACGCCATTTTATTATTTTGACACGCCCTTTTTACACGCCCACTTTGATTATTTTTCAATTTTCAATTTTTAATTTTGAGAAAATTAACAGTAGGATGGAGCTTAAATTTTGTAAAAAATCAGGAGATTACCAAATAAAGTCTTGTTACAATTCTGAAATTAAAAATGTGGAAATTCAAGGAAATTTTTAAAATTTTTTGGCAGGTGATTTCTTGAAATTTGCATGTTTTAATAATTTCTACTAAATTTAAGAAAAGAATGGCAGAAAAGTACACTGACCAATGCCTATGGGTTCATTTGCCTGAAAATAATTTTATACAAAGTAAAATCAGGATCAACATAAAATAAATTTTAAATGATACACATACTAGATCTAGACAAAACACCTTTAAATGGTATACATGATCAAAACAGTTTCCTTGAAAAACAACCCACCCAAAGTATTCCTTCACATAAATCAAATTAAAAGATGGGTGTATCTATCATGAATAAGGTAATAACCATCACATGATATGGGAAAGAGAACCACATAATATATCATGATTTACATTGTACTGTACAATGTAAATCATGATACATTGTGTACTGATATTCCTTTTAATTGATTATTTATCCTATCCATACAGTGGCAAATTTAATTATTCATCAGTTGGATTTCAGCTAGTGTGTTACTAAACTTGTATCATTATTTGAATAGGTAATGGCAGCAATTTCAATTGCTATAGATCTAGAATGGTGACGTTTAGCATAAAATTGTAAATTTAATGTATTTGTCATGCACATGAGTTATGGACAATGACATTGATCTACTCATTAATGTTAAAGCGCGGCTCAGCAGAGTGAGCAGACTCAGCTATGCTGTAAATGGTGGCTACATCTTTTCCATGGTACTGTCTCCTTTGTGTCATATGCAGTCTACTTTTAACTGTTATGACTATATTTTCTGCACAATCACTGCACAATCTCTTCACATGTTCAGTTTATGGCTCTTCCCTAGCGGCTTTTTTCCCAGCATAATAGCATAGATACAAGTTGAACATGGTATGATAATGTATGCATGAGTAAATAACAATAGTTCACCAAGCCCCTTTGCTTATACCAAGCCCCCGGGGCCCTTTGCTACCCCCTTCCTTCTCCTACATTATACTGTACATTGCATGTACATGATAAATTCCATTAAGGAAAATGTAGAGAAATTGCAGGTGTGGTCAGCGCATCATGCATTATTAAATTACTGCCTAGGCTGCTGCGCCCTGAAAAGCGTATACAGACTCTGAGATAATGGCAACCGAATCAGCTCAACCTAAGGAGCAAATTGTTGATCCTTGGACAGCTAAAGCTGGGGAAGGTGAAAAGAAGATCAACTATGACAAGCTCATTGGTAGGTCAACTATGTCAGCTCGTGAAAATTGTTAATCTAATGTATTCATTTTAGTTCAGTTTGGAAGTGAGAGAATAGATGAATCCCTTCTACAAAGGATTGAGACTCTATCAAAGAAACCAGCCCACCACTTTCTCCGCCGAGGAATTTTTTTTTCTCACAGGTAAAGTTATAAATCCTAAAATTTATATTAGTCATGGCCTATGCAGGGATGTTCCTGATATCTTGAATGCATATGAGCAAAATAAGCCATTCTTTCTCTACACTGGGCGTGGTCCTTCATCGGAGTCTATGCATCTTGGGCATCTTATTCCATTCCTTTTTACCAAGTAAGGGCACAAGCATTAAAGTATATTTGCCAATAGCGTAAAGATTGACAGTTCAGAGCTGTGATAGGAATAGCTATAAATGCCAACTATGGTACATGGGTGCATGATGATGATGACGAAAGTCCGTATTTGCTGAGTTCTTGCACTTATGTTGTGGTATAGAACAACTAAACACCACATTAACTAAGTCATAAAGCTATAATGCTGATACTTAAGTCAGTGCATGGGTGCAGCATCCTTCCTATGGTTATTGCAGAGGAAACTGACACAAGGCAATGTGCATTATTTAACAATAATGTCAGTGTATGACAAGTATAAATGTAATTGTTAAATATTTTTTCCCTGCAGTGTACAATATATGAGCCGAAGTACAAAGTATTATATAAAAGGAATTTTACATGTAATATTGTACTTGACAATGCCACATGATATTCCAGCTATGGGTGTAAATATTATTACATCTACTCCTACAACTACTCCTACAACCACTACTGCTAATAGTTGTTATTGTGCTGTTGCAATTATGGTAAAAGAATGGCATGCTACTGGTCATGGTTCCCATGATGAGATGACAATGCAACACTAGTACAAGGGGGGAATGAATTTATACTCCCACTGCAAGCAAGCTTGCTAATAGCACTTGTTATTGTCATTTTGCCTAGTCATTGTATACTTAGCCATCAAGTATCTTATCAGCATGTTTACAACTTGTTGATGTATTTAGTCTGTTTGTGTATCTTTTCATTGCCAATTATTGTTTGATACGACAATTAGATAGCGATAATTGCTAACGGTTCTTTATTAACATAGATATTTGCAAGATGTCTTTGATGTACCACTTGTGATACAAATGACTGATGATGAGAAATTTATGTGGAGAGATCTTGGCCTAGAGGAAGCTCATCGCCTTGCTTATGAGAATGCTAAAGACATCATTGCCTGTGGTTTTGATGTTAATAAGACTTTTATCTTTTCCAACTTGGATTACATGAGGTACTGAAAATAAATTAAAAATTCATTCAATCATTTTGTCCATTTGTTAATTTACTTTTATAGTTGCTGTCCATCTTTTTATCGTAATGTCCTACGTATACAAAAGTGTGTAACTTGTAATCAGGCAAAGGGTATATTTGGCTTCCAGGATACAGATTCTATAGGTGAGTGTACAATGCAAAAGGATTTATGACTAAATATACTGTTTGATACTGTACAGGTAAAATGGCATTCCCAGCTGTTCAAGCAGCACCATCCTTTAGTACTACCTTTCCTGACATATTTGGAGACAATAAAGATGTCAGGTGTCTCATCCCTTGTGCCATTGATCAGGTAATGATAAATAATTACTAGTATTATAGATCAGGTTGGCTGTTATAGGATCCATACTTTCGTATGACGAGAGATGTAGCACCACGTCTTGGCTATCACAAACCAGCACTCCTTCATTCAACTTTCTTTCCAGCACTTCAAGGACCACAATCCAAGATGTCTGCTAGCGATCCAACATCATCCATCTTTCTTACAGATACTCCAAAGGAAATTGAGCAAAAAATCAACAAGTATGCTTTTTCTGGTGGATGTGACACAAAAGAAGAACATGAGAAACATGGTGGTAACACTGACGCCGATGTCTCTTATCAATACTTGACCTTTTTCATGGAGGATGATGAACGTCTGGCAGAGATAAAGAAGGTAGTAATAGTATAACAAATATTTAACTTAATGTTTTAATTAGAATTATGAAAGTGGAAAACTGCTTACTGGACAACTCAAGAAAGAGCTTATTGGTGTGCTTCAAAAGCTTGTTGGGGATCATCAGGCAAGACGTGCTGAGGTGACTATGGATGTTGTGAAGCAGTTCATGACTCCTCGTCCTCTAAATTTTAAGCTGTCTGCTTAAAGATTGAATCTGAGTAGATAGTTAGCCAACTTATACTAATTAGTTATAGTGTTTTTATAGTAGCAGGAACTATATTTATGATTTGATTTGTTTTAGTTAATTTGATTCTTATTTGAAAGAGACTTTTCATTAGTTTAAAGCTTTAAAAAATCTCAAAAATTCTATTGCAATAGTTAATGCATAATGCCATAGTTATAGCTAGCCTGTGTACTTCAAACTTCTCTAACAAAAATTTACTGCAACAAAGAAATTACAATTGATGGAATCTTAATAGAAAGTCATATTCCGGTTATAACTACTTTAATAAAAATACGGAAATAACCGGAATGTGACTTTCCATTTCTACGTGATGATGAAGGTACCACTAATAATATTATCTATTTCTACTGGAGTATCGGTACTTAACTCGTAAACTCATCAATTGGTATACCCTCCACTCCACTGCTACTGTGTAAGCTACAACTGTTCTGTACTTATTGAAAGACTTCAGTCATAGAAGGCTAGTTGGTTACTATTGATTTTTTTGCTACAGCTACTAGCTTACTTTCCGAATGACCGGATCCCGGACCCGATCCGCCCTGGTGTTCCATTTGGACTGAAATTAACCATAGAACAGTGCACACTGTCCGGTTACCGGAGCTCTAGACACTTCGCTCTTTTTATTCTGGGTTCATAGCTATACCTTAAGTTACCTAATTTTCTCATTTGTCCTTCATACTAAAGTACAAGATGATTGATATCTCTCAATGGAGAGCAAGTATTGGACTGTGGAACTACAGTCAGGCTGCCTCCAGTAGACCAGCTAATGGCTGCTACTCTCACTCATTCAAAGCTGCAGTAGACAGCAAGTCAGGCAGTACTACATCAGGAGAGAAGACATCTAAACTGCCAGCAGCTCTGTCTCTTATTGCTTTACTCCTCATCCTCTTTCATTCTCTCTCCTTATTAAGACACATTTTGATGATTCCTCCAACAGGTAAGCGACAATTACAACTTTGTACTTGTAGATCTATATTTACTGGTATTTTATTATTAGGTAACTGCTACCAAGTACAATGTACCACTGGTGTTACTGTTACTGATACAAATTACCTCCAGTCAGTAGTCCTACCTGGAGGCAGCAGTTCTAACCTGATTTACAATGATCTCTATTTGATTGTTTGTCTACATATACTCCTCCTTTTATCAGGAGATGTTGAACTCAATCCTGGTCCTATAACAGGTAAGCATGCACTTAATACAACACTCGCTAACTGATTAATTAATCATTGCAGGTAACACGCCTAATGATATATTAAGGACTCATTCTAGTGAACTCACTAAAGAAATTTCAAACAATCTCTACAAAATAACAACTGAACTACAAGCTAAAGGATTGATACCTCAACAAGCTTTTGATGATGTACTTGTAATGGGAGTTATGACTGATTATACTAAAGCAATGAAACTGATGAGTGTACTATGTAGACAGTTGGAATCCTCTCTTAATCCAGAACAGTATCTTATTGATTTATGTCATGTATTAATAAACCAACAACATTGTTACAGTACACTAACAGATATTGCTCCCACTATATTACACCAGTTAAGTGAGTACCACAGTGTGTCTGCCTTATTAGATCTCAATTAATTAGGTCAGTCTATGCCTGACGTCACATCCATTAGTTCAATACCTGATGACGTTCAAGGATATGCTGACAATATGAGACAACACTACAAACACCAACCTATTGTTGCTATAGACTGGCCACCAAGAATTGGAAAAGATTTCTTTGGAAGACTAGCACTAGTAGAAAAACAAGACTCCAGTACACAAGCAGAATCCGAGGCAGAATCAGCTTGGCATATGCTAAGAGGGCAAGTTGATAAAACAGTTAAACTAACTGAAAACAAAGAGATAAGTGTTGAAGATGTCCTCCAACCCACAGATAGTTCTCCATCTCTCAGAATAGCAATAGACGGTCCTCCTGGTATTGGCAAGACAACACTTTGTCGTAAACTTTTAAATATGTGGTCTAATGGAACAATTGTACACCAACAGTATGATTTGGTACTATACTGTCCTTTAAGGAATGGCAAGATTGCTACAGCTACTACACTAGCTGACCTGTTTGTGCGTCAGCTTAATAGATATAAAAATGTACCTAAATGGTTTGAGGAGAGGGATGGAGAAGGATTACTGATAATCTTTGATGGTTGGGATGAACTAAGTAAACAACTAAGACAGTCTTCATTAGCTGCTAGTATTATTTGTAAAGAGAAGTTAGACAAATGTTCAGTAATTGTTACTTCCCGTAGCTATGCCTCCTCTTCACTTTTAGAGATCATGTCTAGTCGACATGTTCAGGTCATTGGGTTTTCTAAGGAAGAAATATCAACAGTAATTATACAAACACTTCAAAAAGATCCAAAACTAGCACAAGAACTCATTGATAAGAAAAGAAAAGATGATAAAAATTGCAAACTGTTCACAACTACTCAAAGCAGTAAGGACTCACAACTAGCAGTGAAACTCATTAATGATCTTGAAGCACGAAGTGATGTCCAATCATTGTGTTATGTGCCACTAATCTGTTCCATGGTCATCTTAGTTTATTGTAAGGAAGGAGGACACTTACCAACAACACTCACTCAACTCTATGAGAACTTTATCCTACAAACTATCAGAAGACATGTTAAAAGACATGGCAGTAACCCACGTACTTTAGGTAGTCTTTCTTCATTACCATCACAATTATCTAAACCTTTACAAGAGATGAGTCAATTAGCTTATATTAACCTGGCTAATAAAACAATGACATTCTCTTCACATCAATTGAGTGAGGCAGTCAAGGAAGACTATCTTGGATTGATGACAACATTCACAGAATATGATGAGGAGAAGTATCAGTTCCTTCACTTGAGTATACAGGAATTTCTAGCTGCATGGTGGATAGCTAAGCATGAGAAGAAGACAGAGGAAGTGTTTAAGGATCACTTTGATGATGATCACTTTCGGATGTGTCTGAGGTTTGTGGCAGGTCTGACTCAGCTTAAACATGAGAGCTATCAACAGTATTTTAATAAACAGCAACTTGACCTACAGTGTAAGAAGAAACCATTGTTTGGATTTGAGACTTGTCATCTCTCCTACTTCTATCATAATCCTGAGATTGCTAATGGTCATGTCAGTTCTGATGATTTTGACAATCTTCCCATTCTTCTTCTTCAAATCCTGTATGAATCACAAAACAAAACATTATGTCAAGTATTAGCACAGTCCATCAACAACCTCTCACTGTGTCTGAATTGGGATAGAGTATCATTATCACTGTTTGATTGGTTGTGTCTCAGTTATTGTATAAACAATTCCAACACAACATGGAATCACTTGCACCTGCACAGTGTATTTAATAGCCAGTCACTATCAGTCTTCACTGCTGGACTGACCAATAACTCACTTCAGAACCAGTGTAAGAAACTGGAGGTAGAGTTGAATGGACCCACTGATGAATTAATACACAAATTATTAAAATCATCACTTCTATACAATATTCAGGAGTGCTACTGTAGATTATTATTAGGTCAATATGTTCCCTGCGTTGTATTGATACAGTTCCTCAGTCTTCCTCAATTGAAGGTACTGCACTTAAGAATGGACAGTCCTATTGTACCAACAACTGGCAATGCATGCTGCACAGTCAAGTGCACTGAACTTGAGAAATGTATAGAAATGAATTCAACACTACAAAAAATGGAGATTAAGTATATTGGAGAGAATGAAATAACAAGTACAATTATCAGTGTCATTAGAGGATTAACAAGAAATAAAACAATAACATCATTAACAATAGATGTACGACTGATTTCATGTACTCCTCCTCCTTTACCTGATGGAGTAATAGAGCAGTTACTAAAGGACAACAACACTTTACAAGCTCTTTCACTGGATATACCTGATAAATGCCTACCATCATCACTGAATGTAGTAGAGGTGAACACACCACTGACTGCTCTAGAGATAGGATGGAGCAGTAAACTGATGACATCATCACTCCTTCCACATATCAAGGGATTACACTGTTTGATACTACCTGAACCATACCCACCGCATCTTCTGTTTCTCTCTCATCCCAGTCTAAATACATTTACTGTACCACTAGACACAGCTGAAAGTGCTACTGAACTATTTACTATTCTACAAACCAATACTACACTTAAAGCTCTGAGAGTAGAGATAGAGAGAGTATATACTAGCAGTATGGGCACTAGTCTACAAGACATGCTATCACAAAACCATACACTGAAATACCTTGAGATTAAATATTCTATTCTCAGTTCATTCCTGTCCTTCCTAACAACTGGTCTCAGACACAACACCACTCTACAGCAGTTGAGTGTATCCATTCCACTGAATAAAGAGATAAGAACTTTTATCAATGTTATTTCTCAAAAAAACAATCTCACAGAACTTAAAATTAACTTCAATCCAGATCAGTCATACAGTAACTGTAGTGAGGAAGAGAAGAAACAAATAATGACACCATTGTTTTTTGAACAGGTACTACCTGCTGTTACCAACATGTTAAAGTCACATACAAACATCAGACTACTGAGGATAGAGTGTGAATATATTAATAATGAGTCATCTCAACCTACCTGGAAAGAACTAGCACAACATTTATATGATGCTATCTTCATTCATCCATCACTTGAATATATTCATTTAAAGGCATCTCGTCTCCTGGAGGATACTCTTAAAAATCAAAGGAAGACATTGATTGATAGACACAGAAAAGAACAACCACAAAAACCACTACCGATAGTGTATTAATTTAATAGAGAACAAATAATGTTACAATTACCATGCATGTATTGTTACTATTAGTAACGCAGTAGCGTTACTAAGTAGGATTTACCCCCAAACATTATTAGTTGGACTTAGGATTTAATTTATTTTTAAGAGAGTGGGAATAAATGTTAATAATGATTTGATCTACCGGTAAAACAAATTTAATGAATTAATAGTGAAGTGAGTCTGAAGCATTAAATATACTAGGTTTGATACTGGATGACTTTAATGCCCCTGACATCTAGTGGGATACTCTGCTAGGGCAATGTTCCAGGCTCTTCTGAGTCATTATGTGATTTTGTTTTTCA